AGTGCCCTTCCTCTGGCTGCAACGCCATCAAATATCCAGGCAGGGTTCGCGTGCACTGGAATTTGGCCTTTTAATAGAGACATTTTCAATGACATCGACTTTGCTCCATCCCAAGTCACAGACCGCCCACCACCAGAACCTTCTACCAGTGCAGCTCCAACATCAACTGTGGCATCCTCTCCTCCACTCACAGCCTCCTCTCCTCTACTCGCAGCCTCCTCCCCTGTCAGGCCATGTGTGGAGCCTGGGACATCATCCTCTGCAACGCCTTTCTCACCCTTGTCCATCCGTCCACATCTAAAAGCTGGACCAAGGAAGCAGACCACAAAGGGGAGAAAAAGAAGAGAAACCGCTGTCCTCACAGACACTCCGATGAAAGATCAACTCGAGGCTGAGAAAAAAAGATCTAACGCAAAGAAGTCTAAAGCGAAGACAAAAATCAATTTCGGCCAAAACACCAAACTCAACAAGAAGCAGAAGATGCAGGCTTCATCTGATGAAGATGAGGCCCAATACAGCATTGTGTGCCTGGAGAGCTACTCCAGGTCCAAGGAGATCTGGCTGCAGTGTTGCTCCTGTAAAGCCTGGGCACACAAGGACTGCACAGATGGAAGCGCCTTTTACACCTGCCACAACTGTGAATCTGATTAATTCTGGTGTTCTGTTTTAAGTTCTGTTCAAGTTCTGTTCATTGTTCATTGTTTGTTGGAGGATGTGTGAAATCCCATTAAAACCGTGTTGCCTTAGAATTTGACAGCTTTCCCTATTTTTTGTCATATAGTGTGAAAAAGGGTAACCGTTATTAAGATGTTACAACTGTGCCTGCGTGGGTTACAACTGTCCCTGTACACAAGGACAGTTGTAACAGTTGAGTTTAAAAAAAAATACATTTTCCAACCTGTACTTATTCCATAAAAACATCTTAAAGACATTGTTTCAGTAGCTGACATATTGATAATGCATAATATAGCAAAATGGCTATCCAATTGTAAATGTTTTTTTACTTATTGGGGAAAAGCCCCAAAAGTGTTGCAACTATCCCTGGTCTCCCCTACTATTAATCCAAAAACATCTTATAGCGTATAGAAAACAAGACAGGGAACACTTTTTTCACATCTTTGCTGAAACACACTGTTGCTAAAGGGTTTTAATGCAGGACTTCTAGTTGTATTGGAGTATTTTCACAGTGTGGTATAAGTATTTTTACTTGAGTACCACTTTGAGTTGCGAATCCAATCACATGGGCTTAAGCACGTGTGTGTTCAACATGTATGAGCTTTGATTGACAGCTGTGAAGAGTAATTCCAAGTAGGAATGTTTCCACATGTGAAGCGGATGTGGAAAAGAGTGAAATAAAAATCACCTGATGTCTGACACACATGGCCGACTGTCAGAACAAAGACTGTGCATCGTGTTTGACTCAACGTGGTTTCACTTGTCCTCCAGGAAGGTAGGACTTTATAGTTTCCCTTTTTATTTCATGCAGTAAAATATATACTGTATGAATAAAGTGGAACATATGTGACACATACAGTATGTGGATGGCTGGATGTACAGATTGATGGTAGACAATTATAACAACTAGACGATTTTGTTTGTGATTGGTTTAGTAATGTAAGAGTTATTTATGTGATTATATCATCATTAGGGTTAGGGTTAGTTGAAAACGAGATGGTGAATCCCAATAAATAAAATGTCTATATTAGAAATTGATCTGATGGATAGAATTGGGGGAGCGATGAAACCGTCTTTACTGTTCACACATGCAGAGCACACAGTGCCGTTTGTTCTCTGCATTTAACCCATCCTAGTCTAGGAGCAGTGGGCAGCTATTGTACAGCACCCGGGGAGCAATGGGGGAAGTGTCCGGTGCCTTGCTCAAGGGCACCACGGCAGGGCAGGAGGTGGACTGGGACCTCTCCAAGTAGCAGTTCACACTCCATAATTTAGGTCTGGTTGGGGGCTTGAACTGGTGACCCTACAGCTCCGAGTCCAAGCCCCTACTGACTGAGCCACTGCCGGACCACCATTTGCATTTTATTGTTTAAAGAAAAGGAGATAATCACGGTGACTGAAGTCCAATGATGTGACTGCCATCCCTCCTCTTCTCCTTCTTCCCATCTTTGGGCATTTATGATTCATCCATAACTTGTTTTCAGTGTTTTGGAGTGTCAGGACAGATGATGCATGTTTGCACAACAGCTAAATACATTTGATTGGAAACAGTTTTGTGTGATTCCACGTGCAAACAAGAAGCCAAATGCTCACCAGTTAAAACCACAAGCACAGAAAGAAAGAAAGTTGTATCTGTGAATCTTGACACATGGACCCTGGGTGGTCCTGCACTTTGTTGCTCATGACCTTAAAAAGTCTAAAAATGTAAGTTGTTTTCTGGTAAATGTTCCTATTTGTTATGCAGGGTTTGATCAGGTTTCCCAGAAGAGCGGAGGCTGTTCTCCAAGGGTAGAAATGTCCATGAGTTTGAAATAAGATGTTTAACAATCACATGTGGGTGTAATATCCAAGCATCAACAACCCACAGTGTCTAATTCCTTTGAGTTTTACATATAAATGTGGTTGAAAACAATTCTGGAAAAGGGAATCTTTATATCCTTTTTTTTGTTGTTTACATGGCCATTATAAAATGGATCTGAGAAAAAACATCTGGTTGTGTAAACTTAGAATTAAAAACTGCATGATTTTGATAAAGTTGCTCCTATAACTGAAAACCTATCCACCAAACTTTTATTAAAATCCTAATTTTCAGGATCATCTAGATCAGGGGTGTCAAACTCAAATACACAGTGGGCCAAAATAAAAAAAATGGGTACTAGTCGAGGGCCAGACTGGTTCAATGTTTATTGCAGAACGTATTGAAATGAACTTATTGCACATATTAAACCTGGAACTAACAAAGCTTAAATTATTGCCTATAAAAACAACATGAAACATTAAATAATCAGTTGCATTCATTTCTTATGGCTCTATCTGCAGCTTTCCCAGAGTCATTCTTATGATTACATTTTTCCACAAGCCAACAGCAGCTTCAAAAAAACTATTTCCCTCAAAGAACAAAAAAAACATGCCCTGTTGTAACAAGAGAAAAAGTGCAGAAGGAAACATGGAAACTCAGTGTGCTGCTCTGTGATGCTAGTTCAAGCAGATACTTGGCATCTCATCTCGGGTGCAAGTTCATCAATGTTTGGGCTCAGGCTCTGAGCTGAGGAAACCCTCAGGATTGAGTGAAGGTGTGCGTGCAATATACCGGCGGGCCAGATCTAATAGTAATCAAAAATTATCCTGTGGGCCGAAATTAAATCCACCAAGGGCCTGATTTGGCCCCCGGGCCTTGAGTTTGACACATGTGACCTAGACCTTGATAACAGCCATTGTGAAAAACAAACTCACCACAAGGTTCATAATGTTGTTCTGCCGCTTTCATTGATCATCTTGTTGTGGTGAGATTTCTTTATTCATTTCTTTAAAAATCTATTGTTTGCTTTTTTAAACCTCAAATAATCCTGACGATTAGAGAGGAATGAAATCAATACAGAAATAACGAGTTATGAAGGGATGATATACTGCATGTATTCAATGTGAGCATGTAATGTCACAATGTGCACGCATACAGCGTACATACACATACAGGGAACACTTGCACACAAATATGACACACAATACATATATTCAGTTTGATTTTGGGGCAATGCTTTTGGGTATCCACATCCTTTTTGCCATCGGCTGCATTTAAGTCCTGGATGGCTATCAGCAACATATGCATAACTGTGATTCCAAAACAAATCTTGAAATATCATTTGTATCTGCTTAATACAAACACATGCTGCGTTCCATATGTGAGCAAACGTCTGGCTGCATCTTATCTTGTTGTATCTTATGATAATGAACCATCCATGTAGATTACATATCAGAGAGGCTTTGACACACAATAGCCTTCTTATGTTTGTATTTAAATCATGAAAATAACTGAAGCAATTGTCCCTAATGTGATCATGACATAAAGGATGTCTTTGTTTGTGACCGTTTCTCTGTGGTCGCAGCAGAGAGTAACCCATCCTTTTTCTATCAAACTCACCACAACATGTGGCAGCATGAGCCCACAAACATGAGCTCATATCCCTCCAGGGTAACCAGGATTGGGGTGAAAGCAAGAGCTGCAGTCTTTCTATCAGCGTCCAGTTGTCATCGGACTACATTCCTGCTTCTCTTCCTCATAATGAAGTGGTTATCCCTCCTCACAATGAGAGGAGCGAGATGGGAACAGATGCAGCATGTGAAGGAGATGAAACAATAATTGGACCATGAGAGTCAAGGTCAAGGTCAACCTCAAGTGAGTGAAATTCTTTCAGACAAACCTTGACATTACATGGAGAACAGACACATGCTGTGATGATGATTAAACAAATAAAGTACTGTACTATACTGTATACATTCCCCAAAAATGGTATGTGGAAAAAAACTATGAGTCATTGTATAGTATGTCGAAAATATCATGCAAGAGTCACAGTAAAGTTTGTCAAGATATAATGTGAAATGTCTTATCATAGTGTGTCAACAAATATGTCAAACGTTTCTAAAAATAGGTAATGATATGTCAAATGTATCCTGAAAAAGTCATAGTATAGTATTTCAAAAAATTATCATGACATTTTCCGTAAAATAATATCCCAAAAGATCAATGTATAGTATGCCGAAACATATTAATAAAAAGTAATATTATACAATGTTGAAAATATCATGCAACAAGTCATATTATAGTATGTCCAAAATATTACTACACATATAGACTGTGTAATAAGTTAATATATAAAAGGCCATTGTTTAATACGATTGAAGCTCTTATCAGAGTATGTAAAACATCATGTCAAACAAAAGTCCTATGACATTATGTCTAAACATTTTTTTAAAGAAAGTCATCATAGCATAGTGTTGGAAAAAAGTCATGGTTGTAGTATGTTGAACAAATATGTGTAAAAAGTCACAGTATATTATATGGAATATATAAAAAGACATACCATCTTATGTCGTGGCTGACCTCTATTGGTGAAATAATGTATTACAATGGTAACTGCTTTCAGTATTATGTTGACATACTTTTAATCAAACACTTCATCATCACAGTACTACATATCATCACAGTACTACATATAAACCTACGTCTAAACTCTCTAAAAATAACAGGCATGGAGATTAGCTACTGTATTTATACCCAGACACAAACGACATGCGTTCAGTTTGTCCCTGTGTGGCCTCCGTACAGCCCGCTGAGACGGAAGTATTGTTTTGAATGTTCGGCGCGTTTTGAGTTTGTGCAGCAGATTTGTTGAGACAGTGAAAGTAAACGCAGGTAATGTAACATTTATCCATTAAGGTATTAAGTTAACTGACCCAAAACAGTATAGTGGTTTAATTAATTGGTCTGCCACCATATTAAAACCAAAGCTAACATTGCCGTTGCAGTAGATTCGCCATGTTTCGTTGCTATAGTTTTTGCTGTTGGCTAAATGTTTACACAATACTGCTGCATTGTCTATTAACAAGTTATCTATCAGTTAATGTCACTTTACAGTACATTACCAGTTGTGCAGATATCGCAATGCCTTTTCTTTTTATGGAGCCACAATTAAGTCGTTGTTTTAAATGTTTTAAACGTTACGTCAGTTATGCCAGCCTCCATTCACAATGTAGTTATTTATAGCCTTTTTATGTATTCTTACTAAAGATAACCTTATACACAGTAAGTTCAACACAAGACAGTTTAGATTTTAATTTTGGCTTATAGTACATGCATCAAAACACAACTTATATACAGTTTAAACAAGACATGTCAAATAGTAAGTCTAACAATTAACCAGATTAGCTTTAACTAGATAGTGTTTCTCAGGATAGTTACAAATGATCTGTATGCATAGCCGTGGGAACATGTTTCAAATGGGGGGTGCTGTGGGGATGGCACCAGGGCCGGTTTTGACCAATTTGCTGCCCTAGGCAAGATTTTAGCTGGCAATGAAAAACCTCTACAAAAGACCAATACACTACAAAAAGAGAAACGTATTGATATGGTGGACAGCTTATATAAAAAGGCTTCAAATTTATTTAGTATTGCATGAACATGTTGAATTGGAGGGGTGGACTTCACATCCTCTAAGGGGCTCTGGGGGTGTGTCCCCGGGAAGATTTTTTTAACATTTTAAAGTAAAATACTTAAATCTGGTGCACTTTGAGCGCCCAATTACTAGAGACTGATCTAGGGGATACAACTCTAAACACCCATGTGAAAAAGATCGGTTTGTATGTGAACATAACCAATAACCTACCATAGCCAATAACAAATAAATGTAGGCTAACTTGTTTTATTTTTGTGGTTCATTTATATCTTATTTTACCAGTTAACATTTATTTATTTATTTCTGCATATTTTTAAATCTCTCCAGTTTTAAACAATTTTTTTGGTTTACTGTCCTATAGTATGTATTGGAATGATTTCAAACCTGTTTTTATTTATCCTAATAATTATAAAGGTGTCCCTTTGAAATATTTGCTTACATAAATTGTGATCAAAACGTTTGAGACCCACTGAGATAACTTTGACTAAAGTTAACTTTCTAAACCCTCAGAGTCCTTTACCTCACTGAGCCTCTCAGTCTGACAGGACAGAACTCTCCCTCCACATTATTGTAGAAACAGCTTCTTATATCCGTTAGCGCAGCAGAAGCTAACAACAATCCCTGCCGGTACCGGTGCACCCCCTCTCTCTATCTATCTATCTCTCTCTCTCTCTCACGCTGGCTGTGAGCTGCTGGCGCCTGATAAGCCAACATTCCCCACTTTCATCACTTACAGCGCCCATCGTACAGGGCAAATGGAAAATGTAACCGGGGTGAAAAGGGTGTTATCTTTACTTAATTATGAATGTTGTTACATCAAGGCTGAAAAATTCGTTTTTTTGTTGTATTATATTTGCATTTAATCTTGTGGAAGTGCAGATCCCCTGTCATCCACCAGGGGGTGCTGCATCACCCTCAGCACCCCTACTTCCCACGGCCCTGTTAGAGCTTCTTTCAAATGATTCTGCTGGCATAGGCTTTTGTTTTAAAAAGGGAAACCCAAATGAAGGCTGGACAGGGGTGGTGTGGTTTGATTTTCTTTTTCAAACCTCTTCTACAATGTCAGAAAATTTAAAATCACACTCACAGTGGCATTCATAAGATTCTGCTATCTGTACTAAAATTACATCAGTGAGCCTACCAGTCTTGATGTGTTGGAGGGCTTCTGCACGTTTCTCAAAGCCCACAGTTTCCCACTGGTTGGTTTTGTCAAAATATGTGGCTGCAATGAGAGGTAGGGTCATGTGATATATGTTCTGCTCTCCACAGCCATAGGGCTGTTTGATTAGAGTACCCATAGAGTTCCCGCTAACAGCGTTCTCCACGAGGGCAGACACTTGTTCTCTCCCTGAATGAACCCACACAGACAGACAGAAAAGAAGTACAAAACATTATAAATCAACAAGAATAAACCACTAAGCAAACAACAAAGTTCCCCAACGACCAGTGAGGTAGATATTTCCAATAAGAACAATAACAATGTATACCAATTGTATAAATCGTTTCCATTGTACATGCACTGACATGGCATTATGTTTCAATTAATGTTTAATTTATATACCCTAATATCACAAATGTTATATTTGTCTCATATGTCCCACCTGTCACAGAGATCTGTGTGCTTGTTGGTGTGTTTGGAACCCAATCTTTTTTGACGATTCCACTGTTGATAATTACTACTTGTTCACCATCTAAAAGGAGAAACAGTGGGCAAGTTGCAGCAGCAATTAGCAAAAGATAAAAACACAACGTTGATAAACGACTATACTGTAAAATGCAGCCATGTCATTCGTCAAGGCAACTCACCTACACCTTTATTAGTGGGATCTATAATTACAATCTTAGGATCTTTTACTAGTAGACCTTCAGGCTGGAAAAACAACAGTTAGGACAAACATTAGAAATTACAATTATTTGCATCACTTTTTGAGTAATCTTTGTTTGCTGTTGTTTAACAAAGTNGCTGTGGGAGGAGGAATGTGAACAACGTGTCAAACTGTCAACACACACAAGCATGATGACACACACACAAGCATGATCTCACACACACACACACAAGCATGATGACACACACACACACACACACACACACACACACACACACACACACACACACACACACACACACACACACACACACACACACACACACACACACACACACACACACACACCTCTGTGTGGGGAAATATCATTTGATTAGTGAAGGAACTGTGTAGCAGAAACAAAGCAGCAGAAAGATAAGAGCGGAGGAATTACTCATCGCTCCAGCAGTGACGGAGCAGATGCCGTAGGGTCTCACACAGACTTACATCGCATCCTTCACCATCTGAACACCTTCGCTCTGTGTGTACACATATTAAGCGCTGGGACAGCAGGGAAACATCCACCACTGCTGGGAAGCAACTAAGTACATTTGTACAAAAAAAAAACGTTTCCACTACATTTTGGATCCAAATACTGTACTTTTTGTTCCAACTCATTTACATGATGAAGTCAGTTAGTCATTTTTGCATAATCAGATTATGATTAAGCAATAGCTCACGACAGGCCATGGTATATGGTCATTATATCAGAGCTAAGGGGCATGGAACGGCCCGACGCAAAGCGGTGACCAAGTGTGGCAATATGAAAGAAAAATACACACTCTAATTTAAATAGTTTTTATTCGTAAATAATGATGTTCAAAATAAAATAGTCCCTCCGTTGCCTTCTGCACGAAACATAGTGCGAGGTGGTTGCTATGCAACAACACTAACAGCTAGCGAACATATTAGACAGAGAGCGTTGATCCATTAATTGGCTATTTATTTAGGCCTACATTAATTTGTATGTTGCCGTTTATTGTGCACCCACTGAAAAGCTGTCCAGCATCAGTAGCATGGCTTACGTGGTCACTTGTATAGGTTGAGGTTGTTCGAGGCTGTTGCTTGGCGTGGCGAGAATATTGCTCCACTTTCTCCGGTCCTCGAGATTCGGCTTCCAGTAGCTCTGGAGAGACGGTCATAATTTCTCTGCTTTCAAGACCCGCATCAGAAAGCTTTTGAATGGTGGTACTTTTCCAGTTGGTCTACCTGCTCTTCACGTAGCTCCGCATGTCGTCGTTTAGGTGCTTTTTTTTCTGGAGATAGGCACTGCTCAATCCTCTCCTCCATAGTAAGACCCCCCCGGAGGTCGAAGTTAACCTTAAATGTTTCCATCTTAAGCTTTGTTGGTTAGTTAATTTCGTAACGGACGTAATGTAACAGTTGTAACGGTTGTAGCTTTTCTCAGACGCGGAGGGATACATGACTTGTGAAAAGTAACTACAATTCTACCCGTGATATACGCTCATTATATCACGGCTAAGCCAATCAGATTGCTTGATTTGACTTGTCCGTTTTATAAAGAAAAGCAATTAAATGTTAGACGTCACAGCCAAGATCGCCAATC